TGGGTGTCCTGCTCTATTACTCTCTATTCCTTTGAGTCTCCAGGTAAGCTGGTGGCCAGCAAATCCCACATATCGTCCTGTCTCAGCACTCCCACCCGACAACTCTGGGGTTATAGGAACACCTGCAAACACACCCATCTTTTCACATAGTTTCTGGGGGATCTGAACTCAGGTTCTCATGCTTGTGCAGCCAATGCTCTTACTCACTGTGCCATTCCTCCAGCCCAAACACCATCATCTTTAAAAGAACAAGAAGTTTGTAGACTCTATTAGCCTGCTCTTTGGGTCCAAGATAACAAGGCTTAGCAGTATTTGCCAGTCCAGGAATGCCCTTCTCTCCTGTTCTTATAAGAACCAAGTTGAGAATGCTCAAACTGTCACCTACAGTATAACCCCAGATCTCCTTGGTTTGCAACAGGAAGGCCCCTTTGCTCAATGGCAGGCAGTCGTTCTGCTTCTTAGTTTATTTCTGGAATTTTATCAATACCAGCTAACTAGAAACGCAGCAACTGTCTCAAGTAATGACTTTGAAGACTGTCTCAAGTAATAACTTTGAAGACATAGGAACTGAGTATAAGATAAAAGCTGATCTGAAAAAGAAGTCAAATCACATTTAAAAAAAAAAAAAAGAAGCAGAAATTACAGTATCATTTGGGTTCTGGATATAGTCCTGCCCTTAATACATTTTATGAGTGAGAACTCAAGTCTTCACTCTGACTCAGCTAGTTCAAGATGGGTACCTGTCTTTGTACTCTCAAGATTCTGATGCTACTGACAATAATGGACTTATAAAGCAAATAGTCTGTCATTTCCCTCAGAAAGACTAAAGGATTATTAAAACCTAACCAACAACAGTTTATTACTGCACTAGGGTCTGAAAGTCACCTGTGCTAAAGACCATCTTATTAGCTACATTATCCAAGTCTGTATTCTACCAGATTATTAAGGGATTTCCCTTCAACTGAAATGGAAACATCAGAATCGAGTAGTATACTGTTTTACTCTCACTCATTTAAGTCTAAGAGTACAGAAAGGGAGACAGAGAACAAAACTTACGGGCATGTAGTGCATGTTCACCGCTTGCTTTGAGAATTGTGTGGATAACATAACTAAGATTCATTTAGTGGCTTATTATGCCAGACATTGTACCAAGTGCTTTAGATCTCTTTTTAACAACTGAAGTTTAACAATGTTTATCAAAAGTTGCATGCTTATGAAATACTGAAGCTAAATTATGAACCCAGAGAATCTGACTCACTCACTTACTTACACATGTACATATAACTCACTTTCGTCCTTGAAACCTGACTCAGGTTAAATGTTCACCATCCTGATGCAGTATAAGGGCTGAGTAGGTAAGACTATGAGGAATAAAGAAAATGGGCACAGCACAAGATGAATAAAAATACAGGATGTGCATTACACTTAAATATTGTGCTTTAGGATGTAAGTTATCTAAACATTAACAAAAAGAGAAGTAATCCTATCTGTATAAGCTATCAGGAGGCTGGATGAAGGTTCAAACAATGAGCTATTTAAAAGGCAAATACTGCATCTGGAATAAAGTGAAGAGGTTAAAGTCACCAAACACTGACACACAATACTATTATAAGGTTTGATGGCATCAAGTTCCTCACTGTAGAAGCAGTGGCTCACAGCAGGGGGCTAGTCATTCATAAATGACTGCTGTTGGTAGCAGATGGAAACCTTCATGTCTGGGTCATTTGGTGGATGGGCACAGTATTCCTCATGTATCTGTTGCACCAAAATGGACTTAGCAATAAATGCTTATAAAGACGGGATAAAGGAAAGAAGCCAATTTCTGACCAGGAGGGCCTAAGGGACCAAATCCAGATTAGACTAGAGACAGTTCCTAAGGAAACCAATCTCTTGGAGCTGTTGCTTGATTAGAAGACAAACTATGAAGCGATAAAGGTAGCGGACTCTTTTTTACAATTCCCATGTTGGTCTTTCCTTTATATGTATATATACATACATATACACACATATTTGCACATATAAAATTCAGATTGTGCATTTCAAAAACAATTAAGTCTCTCACATCTTTTATCCTAGAAAAAGAAACAACAAAATAATTGAAAGACAGCCTTTATTTCAGAGTGAAAGTATGTGCTCAAGGGTTAGTGTGGGGATTCTTAAGAGAGCTGCCTCAGTCCCCAGCACTAGCTCTGGGGCTTCACTGGGAATGTGTCAAACTCTTTAGTGTGCATTAATATGGATACTGTTTTTCTACAATGCACTTAAATATATAAAGATATAGTTGATATTGATCTTTCTTCTCTTAAATGGAGTGCTACAAACTGTGCCTATTTTCAGTCTCTTGAATCTTAACACATTAGAAAACAGTTAAATTTCAGTACTGCTAATTCATAGCAAACAAAAAACTTATGTACTGTGGGAATGATTCTAAGACTTTCTATGAGTACCAGACTAAATGTATCTAACTCAACTAAGACTTTTTTTTTTTGCCTTTTTTGAGACAGGGTCTCCTTGTAGCCCCAGCTGTCCTGGAACTCACTATGTAGACCAGACTGGCCTCGAACTCACAAAGATCCGCCTGCCTCTGCCTCCCAAGTGCTGGGATTAAAGGTGTGCACCACCACGCCCAGCCCTCAACTAAGACATTTTAATATAAGACCTTTACTTCTGACACTGACAAGGTATGTACAACTATAACAATATACAGAGCTTTTTCTATCAATAGCCTTTTCCCTAAGAACTGCAGTATAGAAAATTAAAACCACAGCTACCATGGTTACTGCTGAATCAAGTATGAATTAGCTGTGCAGAGTTCTCCTTAAATTACATAGTCAAAGTGCCAACTGAAAAACAGTAAACTTCCTAACATCACTAATGACCTGCTTCTACAAAAGGAGATGAGTAATAAATGACATTAATTTCTTAAATAAAAAATTGGGTTGGTTCATACCTAAAGAGTTTATAACCACAGGAGATCCAACATACTTGGTCCTCACCTGCTTAGCTTCAGGTTACGGGTGCTACTTAAACCTATAACATAACTGTTTCTGGGAGAAGTTATAGAAGGTGGTATGAGACTGTGGTTGAAATCTATTTTAATTACCATTTCCTAAAGAAAATTAATAAAATGTAACTGACCAGTCTCTTACTTTCAAAGACTAGTTCTGATCCCAAGTATAATGTTTAACCTTCTTTGAAAGGCACTGTGATGACTAATATACAATACTGCCACCAAAATCAATTCTGTTGTCTGGCTCAAAAAATATAAACGATCTAAAACAAGACCCTGGGAAGATACAACTAAATGGTAACAGGACTCATCTTAAGAATTCAAACTAAATACTGAACCACAGTTAAGTCACTATTACACTCCACTCTATTCTCAACCCGTAAAAGCTTACACTAGGTCTTCTATCTTAGGTCCCTTTTATCATGGATATCTTAGCTCACACATACAGTAAATTTTATTAGAGCACACCAGATGGATCTACTCATTCACTACTTTTAGTAATCACTCTTGCTGGGTACCCTGAAACATCATTTATCCTTCTCCTCATGAGGTTAATGAATTTTACTTATGAATTGTGTTGGGCAAAACAAAACAAAACTGTACAGAATAGAATGCAGTTTTTGTTTTTAAAGAGCTAATTAGCATATAGGAACAGTAACACCAAACTCAGAAGAAATGCAGCAAGCCTTGGGTAACAGATCCCAGAGTGCCAAATAAACCTCAAAGTGGGAACTAACTAGCTAACCCAAGAACAAAAGCAGCCAGTATAGTATAGCAAAGCATAGCAGGGGTGGTGCTGTATATGGGTAAAGAGGTCTGTTGAGCAGCTGGCCTTGCAGCAAGGTTAGAGTCTCAGATAGAAATGATGGGCTTATTTAGAAATTGGGTATTGGAAAGGAAGGGAAAGTCCGCCTTGGTTCCAGACTTAGGTAACAACATAAATATTAATAAGTAAGTGGTATTTTTTAGAGAGACAGAGAAGAGAAAGGGACAAGGAGCAGAGGTACAGGTGCTGTTCCGAATGTTTAACATACCAGTGTCTGCTAAAATGTCTAAGCAGAATGAAGAGTTAAGCCAGAAATACAAACTAAGGAAAGCTAAGCATACAGACGATCATAAAATAGATTGGCTCACATACCTTGGTAATGTTCATATTTGGTGTGCAAATAACCAGACATGCTTAATGAAGACATAGACTGAGAGCCATCCTCAGAGATTCTGATTTTGTACAGCTATGAAAATATCTAGGTATTTGCTCTATTCACTTAAGCCCATGGACCTTTCTGATGCAGCTAACCTTCAGACTACACTCTGAGAAGCACTGGTCTAGAGACAAAACTAGATGCACAGAAGGTCTGGAACTGAGAATCAGGAAATGCAAACACTTCAACTTCAGGTAAAGACAGAAAAGCCTGCAAAGGACAGTGAGGATAAAGACATGGAGAACACTAGGCAGTGAGCTACTTCAGAACACAGATTTTTTAAAAGGAAATTGTAACTGTGCTGAGTTATTGTTGAGACAAAGGTAACACTGAAAGAGAAAAGTCAATGTAACAATGTATTTAAGAATCAGAGTCAGAGGTTACCCTGAGAGAAAGAAGCAGAACAATCTAGAACTTAAACCAGGGACCGGGAAACGAGGAAAATAATGACATTTAAGACATTTAGGCTTTGAAGGGGGTAAATAAAAGATGGAAAAAGAGAAGAGGACAGAAGGTAAGTAAGAGGAAATTTAGGATCCTTTTACTGTCAATTTCTGACCTAGACCTGGGATGTTTTGCCAAAATTATAACTGAATTCAATTATTTTATACAATAATGCTTTTTTTTGAATGCCTCAATTCCAAACTTTAAATACCCCATCAAAAAGAACATCAAAATTTTCAATATGAACTATACAACTTCCCCCCAAACAGAGAGCCAAAATCTCAAATGTTCTCTCTCCACAAAAAGTTCCATCATTTCAACCCCTAGCTCTTAAGATTATTTACCCTTGCAAGATCCTCTATTTCAGAACTGAAGTTTGTTTCTCCTTCCATCATTTCTTCCTCTTCTAATGTTCGTTCATCATCAAAATCATGAACCAGCATGTCAGCTGATGGATCAAACTCATGGTCCTCTGATGTTGCTGAACCTCCTAGTAAAGAATATTTTAAGACGTATGGTAAACCAAATTAAGTGTATCTTACTAATTTAGTGTATATGCATTATTTATTTGAGACTGGGTAAGTCAAAAGTAACATGAAAAAGATAGGCACAGTAAATACTATATTTTGCTTTTCACAATTATCTTTTACTCATCCCCACTCCCCAAAAGCTCTTGTAAGAACTATTTGCCCTGTCTCACCCTTGTATGTTCAGTAACCATAAAGTTATATACCATTTACAGCTTTAGAAATTATGTTGTAATCTTCTGAACATGAAACTCAAGTTGTAAAGAGTTAAGTAGCCCTATCAAGTTAAGAATGATCCTTCTGTGTTGGGGAAAAAAAAAATTACTGATTATTGCCTGAGATCTTCTGGTCCCTGAGAATAGAGTCATGTGACTACAAAGTCATCTGCATAACGATCTTTATAGGTCACTGACAGGTGCCTATATGATGGTGGCTCCAATCATAGAGCCTCGGGGTGTAGGCTAAACCACCTTGGTTATAGAAATATGCTCTATGATACTTGTACAATCACCCAAGGACACATTGCTCTGAGGATGTACACTTGTTGTTAAGCAACACATGAGAGTTGAGTGAAAATATACATGCACTCAAACACTTTCCTATCAGTGCCACCTTCAAAATATAGTCTACTATGACGCTGGGTGTGGTGGCGAACACCTTTAATTCCAGCACTCAGAAGGCAGAGGAAGGCGAATCTCTGTCAGTTCAAGGCCAACCTGCCTGGTCTACATAAAGTTCCAGTCCAGCTGGGAAAAAAAAAAAAAAAAAAAAAAAAAAAGCAGAGATATACACACACACACACACTGCTGGGGAAAAAAAGTAGAGATACACACACACACACACACACACACACAACTTTCAATAGCTATTTTTAACTCTTCAATTTTCACCTGAAATAAAGAGGTAAGAGCAAAATTTAATAAAACTCATAAAATTCTTATTAAAATCAATACAAATAACCTGCAGGAACTGACACATGTTAATCCCTTTTAGCCTGGTTGCTGTGGAATACAGCTGCTAAATAAGGTTAGTTTTTAAATAAATGGCAAAAAGTGTGAATGTGTATATTCTGTAAATATTTCCCACATTTTTATTATCTATAAACCTAGACTTCAGTTTGCAAAAGCACTGCTTACTAACATACAAATCCATTACTTAACATCAAAAAACCAGCACTCTTTCTCATTTAAGTTGTTAAGGATTGTATTAACAGACACAGCGATCCTTTCTCCTCACTCTCTGTGAGAGCCAGTTAGGAAAATAAAGAACCCAGGAATACCAACGGCTTGGGGACCTTTAGTCAGCTCCCACAATTTTCAGCATAAGAGCCATTTTTCTTACTATGTGCCAAACAGTATGCTCATCCATTTTACATACATTATCTCCATCCTCAACTGTATTATCACCACATTAAAGAGGGGGAGGGAGGGTTCAAGGCCTTAAGAATTTAGTATTTCTAAAACAATTTTAGTAATATTTCTAAACTCCGCGCAGTAGTGGCAGCAAAGATGGAACTAAGTCCTACCTCTAACTTCAACTCGTTTGCTTCAAACGTCCTATAAGTCCTCTACACATCCTGCCTCAAAGAATACTTGAGAGCCCATGTTTACTAACATGAGTGAACTGTAAGCTCCATCAGGAGGAAAGCAGCTAGAAGATAATATGCTTTTTGAAGAATATATTTAAAAAATGGTATTAAATATAAGTGCACTTGCCAAATCAGATTTCATTTTATACTAGATTTTAATGAAAAACGAGTTATTAATCATTACTGAAGTTTTAGAGTGACTTATTGAAAAATTAGAAAAATCATACTGTCTTAGTTTCTTAAAACAGCTTGTTGTAACTTTATCAGGGTGTTCTGGGACTAGCTGAACTACTGGACTGAAGGGTTTCCACTAGAACGTACTTTAAGATCCGCTAACTTGGTTTTCTGGGCTTGTCACCTTTTCTTCAGAGACACAGCAGTCAGTAAGTACATACTTGTACAGATGATGCTATACTTTTATTCTCCCTTGCAGGCAAGAAGAATCTTTAAAAACCCTATTAGCTTTGTGAACCCTATTAACCTAAATATAATTCTTTTACAGTGTAAGTATTGCCCAAAATAATTATGCTGTATTTCTAACTACTTATTGTTACACTCTAATCAACTTAAAAAAAAAAAAAAGCCCACGAGTGCATAGAATCCAATCATGAATATTATGTCACTTACCTGCACTCTCCCATCATGTCATTATTTGCAAAGACACTTACACTTGAAGACATGCCATTTCACTCTATTACATTAAATGCCAAAGTTTAAGTGAACTTTTCTTATTCCAATTCCTTCCTCAGATACACACTGCACTTTCTGTCTATAAACCTGCAATTTTCAGCTTTTACTTTGCCATAATCTGATCCTTACTTTCATTCGACTTCTTCATACCTTATTTGTGAGTAGCAACTAACAATCCTATCCCTGTCTGTCACTTGCTAGACCCATTATTAAGACTGTTTCCTGGGGAGAAAGTCCAGTAAGTGACAAGGGATAGGAAGTTTTGTGCTTTGTACAAATATTTTGCTTCTCGGTTAAGGCCATTATCACTGCTTTGTTATAAAATCACTTTTGGACTACTAAAATGTAGTAGTTATACTTCTTTTCAAAGACACTAAGATAAATTCAGGTTATAATATATCATGCATACCCATTTAATCACTTAAAAAAAACCCTTCCCTTTCAGCTTCACATATAATGGCCTCTAGTCTTACAGGTAGTCTTGTACTGTACCTGTAGTTTGGCTGATACTAAGCCTATATATAGACATATCATTTAGCAGTCATGTGACTATGATTGCTAGAGCACTGATTCCAAAGTACGGATACTATGAAGGGCACAGTCTTTTGTCAGTGAATCAAAATTACTTTTTATGAGTCTTCTACCTTTAATTCTACCAATTTTACTTTCTATGACTTAAACTACTCCTAACAATGAATGTTCCTTTGTCAAAGGTCTGATACTTATATGCTTGCTGATGAATGCCTTGAAAAAATTTTAAAAATCTAAAATTTAGTGAATCTGTATTACAAAACTAATAAACAATAGAACCCGTTTTTTCACTGAAAATGATTTTCCTGTTTTTTGAAAGGGGAAAAAACTACTGGAAACATTTCTATATCCTCTAAACAATACAGTGATGTAACACTTATCTGACCTGAAATTACTTCTAATTCCTATCATCCTGAACATATTTATATACCAGAAAGTTAAAAAAGTCACAAAGCCCAATATACTTTACTCTCTGGCATATTAGAAAAAAAATATTTTTAGCTGAAATAAAAACAAAAACAAATGTAAAGTGAGCACTCAAGTTATTTAAAAGGAAGTAATTTAGTCCAACCTTCAGAGCACAATGATTTCCTGAAATATTCTTGAAAAGTACTCTGGACTATTAGAAATGGTTATGTTACTTATTTAAATAAACTTTCTTCCTAAAAATTACAATACAAAAGTCAACTGCTTGAATATGCAAAATTCAACACAGTGATATAAAATGTGTCTAAATACACAATACATGTGAGATATTTTCAAATAAAACAAGCCTCAGAGGGCTTTCCTCCCCATTTTAAATTGGGCTTCTTTTTAATTCATATGCTCTATTCAGAAGGTGGTCTTCTCTCTCCATAAAGACCCTTTCCTCACTACTGTTTAGCTACAAATAATTATTGTCACAAAGGAATCTAGGCTGCCACATTCTGTGATTTGTCATCAGAATTAGTCATTAGACGTCAAAGTCTTCTAACATTCTAATTTTTCAAGACTACTACAATGCGCAAACAAAAATCATTTGTGGCCCGGAGTGGCCCAAAGACCACAGGTTTACAACTTCTTAGGAATAAAAGACGTGTACTATTAGGGGAGAACATAAAACTCCCAGATGGGCAGCTGGAATATACACCCTGATCCTACTCAAATCTAAGAATAAGTTCCTTAAATTTACACTATTGCTCTACCGAACTGTTCACTTACTTTACTATTTATTCCCTCCCTCAGTAAATACACCAACATTTTTTTCAAATAAAATGTTCTGAATTTCTTTCACAACCCAAGTATTTTTAAACTAATTGATTCTTTTCAAAAAGCATTACTTCATATACAAATAACAATTTAAAACTATAAGGAATACATAAAGCAAATGAGAGGACACATGTGCGCACAAGAGAGAGGGAGGGAGGGGGGAAGGCAGGGAGGGAAGGAGGGAGAGGTGGGGAAGGCAGGGAGGGAGGGTGAGAGAGAGAGAGAAGAGAGAGAGAGAGAGAGAGAGCGCCTAAAAATAGTTATTAGGATGAACTCACAGCAGCCTCACCTGTACTTTCATGGGCAGTCAAATATTTCATCCATTTCTTTTTCCCCAGAAAAAAGAAGCATTCAGAAGAAAAGCAAGTCAGATGACAGTCTAACTCCTCTAGCCTTTATGTAACTAATAGGACAAATGTTAGTCAAACAGAAATTATACAAAATATGGAAAAATACTTACCTGGACTTGAAGAATCAACAGATGGCTGAGGGAAAAAAGAAAACAAGTTAACATTTTTATTTATTATACCTACATACACATTACAAGAACCACTGAGTGACTAATGACACCAAAAACCAGAGTAACTTGTAGCATCTAACACAAAGTACAAATTTTCATGCAATTCTTTCTCTTCTATCTACTATGTTTAAACCCAAAGAAAAACCTGAAACGTTTTACATTTTCTATTTAGAAGCAAAAATAGTACTGTGGAATCAATTCAGATTTTAAAAGCAAATATGGTCCTCAAAAGCATAGGTGAACTGAAATAAGGTTTTAGATCTTACAATCTTCAGAAACAGGCCTTCTATTAATATTTAAGTAACTACATACAAAATTCTCTATCAAACTAGTCTCTGTAACTTAAAAAAAAAATCAGTGAAATAGGCAGAAATGACTTAAACATGTTTTCTCCACCATGGCTTCAGGGATTGAATCCAGAGCTTCGCACAAGCTAGACAACTGTTCTACGAATAGCTGTATCACCAATTTCTGTATCTCTAGTCCTTCCCCACTTTGTGTGTGTGGGGGGGACACAGAACCGTGCTATGTAGCCCAGGCTAGTCATGATCTCATGATCCTCCTACCTCAGCCTCCCAAGTGCTGAGAGGCATCACCAGCCTCCACCGTATCATTGTACGTCTCATTAACATAACCATACACAACTGAAAAATTTAGATATAAAACTTGTGGTAACTTCTTTTACTCACATCACCACTTGACGGTGTGGTTATTTTATTTGAATTCAGTCTCAAAATCAATTACTCAGGAGATATTCCAATGTCTACCTTTCAATTTTTTTAAGAGATTGGTTCATTCCTACACCCGTTTTTCTAACAAATGTTAGACAATGTACACAGTATTATCCAGCAAATCAGTATTTTAAAATCTTAATTTCCCAACCACAAGCCCAGCCTTTGTACAAGCTTAAGACATGCTAATATGGCCATCTTTTTTGTGGTTCCAGGTTGTCAGTACCCACAGAGTCTTAGCACACACTGTTCCTTTTTAGTAAATGTCTAGAACAAACTTCTATGGCATCAGTACCAACCAGAATTTCTTATGGATCAGGAGTTTAAGAGAAATGGTTCTTGGGCATTTAATTCATTAACATTTCAATAATTTGTCTTCAAATAAGAAAAAGTTTTCTGACTAAAAGTAACTTACTCTACCAAACACAAAAAGGTTTAATGGTATTAGCTATTAGCAATATCGGGGATATTGAACTGAAAATGGTACCTGCATTCTTCAGGTTGTAAGAGACATCACCAGTAATAAATGACAATAAATACCACACTGACTAATATTGCTTTATTTTTATTTTTTATGTGTATGCATGTGTTGTATACAAGTGTTCTATGACTAGCTGTATCACCAATTAATATATCCCTAGTCCTTCCCCACTGTGTGTGTGTATGTGTGTGTGTGTGTGTGTGTGTGTGTGTAGGACCAACACAGAATCATGTATGCAGGTGCACCCAATGCCTGTGGAGGACAGAAGTGATGCTGAATCCCCTGGAACTGGAGTTATGGATAGTTATTAGCTGCCATGTTGAGTACTGGGATTTGAACCCAGGTCTTCTGCAAGAACAGCCAGTGCTCTTAACCACTGAGCCATCTCTTCAGTCCCATTCTATGAAATAGTTATCAGCTTAAAGTTCTGAAAAGGCTAATGAAGATGCCCAACACTTACTGGTAGCATCTGTTAGGTATGGCACACTTCATCAAGCAGACCACCCAGTGTTCAAATATAACTTTAATATTATGTCAGACACACTGGACTTGAGTCAAGGCGTAGACTAGCATGGGGAAGGAAGCAGGGATGGTTTACCAAAGATGTTTAGTATCTATACACATTTTAGTACTTTATGTACCAAATAAAATTATATTGTACCAATTTAGGGGGGTAGGCATGAGATTAGTTTATTGTATCTTAATTATATCCAATTAAAGATTAGCTGCTGAAAACTAGCATTTTTAAAGTTCATACTGCGAACAATAGTCAAACAACCAAAATGATTATCTCTTAAAATAAGAGTTTTATATCAATATAGGAGGTTTCAATGTAGAATAAGGGCATTTTTTTATAGCTATAAAAAAAGGAGAACTTACATTTACACAGCACTACACAGTTTTAAACGCAGAGTTACTTGACCTTAACCATACATATGGCATTAACAACTGCTCTACCTCATTTCATACCTTATGTAACTCTAGTATGAGGTGAGTAGATGAAGGTCTCAAGGTGATGATGAAGGAAAACCTGATAAAGCCTATAAGCTCTGACCACTCAAATTTCTTTTATATCCCCGAGAGAAAAAGTCAAATCTCTATCTCCTTTCCTTTTATTTTCTATATCTAAAATGGCTTCTACTGGTTTACAGCATGCTTACAACGTAAACACAAATTGACACCTGCCTTGAGGGACTTATCTGTCCCTTTAGAACTAGTGTCTACCTAATAATATCTCTAAGACAGCCCGCATCATTTACTTTTTATTACTACAGAAAATTAGGGGGACGGAGAGAAGAAAAACTGTAGTATTTATTTATAACAATACCTATTTTTTTAAACTGCAAACAGGAATATTTTGAAGACTAAAGGTCCTTAAAATGCACTCGCATAGCACTGGTAAAACACGAGTGGCTGCAAGCCTTCTGGAGCTCTTCTGCCAACAGGAACATACCCTACTGTTTCACCCATAGCTGCACAGCAAGATACGTGTGGGGTTATCTACTGTCACAAGGTTATTCACAGCGAAGATTTAGAGAAAAATTTAAATTAGTTAAGTAATTTAGAAATGATAGGTGATATTTCAAAGCAATGCAGCACCATGAATCTGTAATAATGAGACACACTATCTGTTTGGGTCAAAAAAAAGTGGGAGGAATGCTTAAAAACACATTAGGAGTAAAAATGTACAGCAACTATGTTAGGAGTAAAATAAAATCATTAATAGTAGTTACGTACAGTGAAGGGGTCAGGAGGAATTGCGGTTTTTCCCTTTTACTTTTTTCTGCATTGTTGCAATTTGTTCCTTGTTTTCAATCATTGCCCATTCCTTTTTATAAGGAAAAAGGAGGATTATCTTGTAGAATAACAAATTCTTTTTAATTTCTAAAAAAAATCCGAGGCTGGAAAGGAATTAGGGAACCCTTCTCCAGGATGCACATTGCAGGGTGCACTTGGCAGGGCCTACCACTCCATTCTCCCCATTATACAAAATTTTGTCAGTTTAACATTCCTTGTACTCAGGAATTCGGCATTCAGAGTGCCTGGAATTAAAATGTGGAAATTTACCACAGCAGCAGTAATTCAGAAGGCAGAATGGCATTATGGAAGATAAGCACTAGGAATTCAGAAAACCAGGTTCTGGTCTTCACTGTGCCACAAAGACTAGTTACATTATGTACGACAAACTACATAAGGGCTCATCAGTTTCATTTTCTCCATGATGAAAAGATTTAGATTTCTTCAAGTTTAGCTCCAAGTTCCACTGAAACCTAAGTTTATTTTTATTATGGAGTATCCAAAATGCAGCTAAATGAAACAGATAAGTTTAATACTTCTGAATTTATTTTTTAAATCTACAACTAAGGACCTAAGATTATTTTTATTATGGAGTTCTCAAAATGCAGCTAAATGAAATGGGTAAGTTTAATACTTCTGAATTTATTTTTTAAATCAACAACTAAGGAAAAGGCAGTTATCAGTCGACAAAAAAGGTATTTTGTGGTGCTACTTAAAAATTTCCTATATATAAACATGATTTTAATATTTATACATCTAAACCATAGAACTGACTTAACAGAATGGATCCAAAGCAGCAGTTCAGTTACTACAAAGAATTCTGAAACCATTTGAAACTAAACATAATGACATCAAGGGAAGAACTTTTTATCTAGATGTTACTTTCAAAAAGACATCCTTCAGTTTTAATGGCAATGTTGGTTTCTAAATTATGTGGGAAACTGATCAGTCTCACCAGAATTATCTTAAGAGTAATTCAACTTGTTGGCTTCTCTTGCCAGACATTTCTCACCTAGGCCATCAAATATAATGACTCTTAATCCCACCAAATTAAACTTTTCATGACTCTCATGCAGCACGGGAGTTCTTGACCACTTTCGGTAAAACCTTGATAGTTTTGAATAATTAAAAAAAAGAAAATTCACTGCCAGTTACAGAGAATTATTTTCATCTTAAATTCATTGCTATGAAAGAGGATTGCTTAGAGTAGAAACCGACACTTTGAAAGTCCATTTCCTTTAAAAAACAAAACAAAAGCTGCATACACTCAAATAATGCCACACAAGGAATATGTTTTTAAGAGAAATAGATGGATAGTTGTGCTAGTAAACAAATGTTTTATTTTTTGGCTATTTATTTCAAACTAATACATTAAGCAAATCCATTAAAATGTTTTGTTTGTATTACAGAAATGAGGCTTGGGTGAAAACACAAATTTTACATTGTGCTGTGGCTTTTTTTATCTCATGAAAGTCCCTATATGTTTACAAGCTCTGAAATAAATGACAAATTCTTTGTTCCCAAAGGTCCCTATACCACATTCCATATAAAACCCAAAGGATCAACTATTCCTTCCCTGTATTTTTTTCTCACTGACTTCATAAAACTATGACTACTCTGTAATTGCCTTCTAGTGTGACTGGGAGAGCCTCTTTTTAGGAGGTTGGTAAATAATCTTAAGGGATAGTAAGCAATGAGAAATATTACCGAAAAGAATTAAGAAAGGAAGCATATAACAACTCTTCTATGCACATTAAATAGGTTGGGTTTTTGAGGTTTTTTTTTTTTTTCGCTTTTTAGACAGGGTCTCACACTATGTAGCTCTGGTGGCCTGAAACCCAGACTACACATAGACCAAACTGGCCTAGATCTCACAGAAATCCACCTGCTCCTGCTTCCCAAGTGCTGGGATTAAAGGTATTCGCTACCATGCCCAACATAAATACTATTTAATGTCATTCGTATTCACAAACCAAGTATTTTTCAAGAAAAACAAGGTCAGCATCGTTCTCTGAAGAAGAGAACAAAAGTCTAAAAGTCCAATATTTCTGTCTGGAGTTGTACTTCTTCCTAGGCTTAGATTTCCCCTCATATTTATCAAATAAACACGTTCTCAAGGTTGCTTAATCAAAAGCACAATAGGTCCAGCATACGAGTTATTTACTGCATGCGCCAGAAAAAATAACTCTAAGGGTCCATACAGGGGCAAGAAAAGATGTTTTAAACCAAGCATTTCTCCACCCAATTTTCTGAAACCACTGGTCTTAAAATATCTCGAAGAACGGAGAAAAGGAAAATTGCAAATTTATCTATTTTAGAGCATTTTTGCAGGACATATAAAGTTCCTCCATTCTTCCCCTAAGTTCATCATAAAGCTATCAATAAGCAACTGAAGGGTACAAAATATTAATTACTAGATCATTAAAAACACTGAAAACAAAATTCAAGTGTTTTGTTCTTGAAATTGGCACATCCTCGTTCAAGTGATGAGATATTAAGAGCAACAGCACATTAGAAAACTGGAGGGAATGACCAGTATTTCAGAACACTGCTTCCTTCTTACATTAACGCAATCCCCTTTAATTTTGAAAATAAGAAAACATGTCGATTTAACGAGATGTTTTCAGTACACTGGCAAGTAAACGTCTTAGGTGGGGTTTCTTTAAACTTAAATTTTGGTGTATGTTCATTCACAAAGTAGTATTCAGTGCCTTCACAACTTCTGTAAGCAGCAATATACAGTGCTGCTTATTTAGTGAGTTCCTAGTCAAAGGGGATGCAGTGAAGGTTAACTGGTAAGATGTATGTAAATCCAACCATACACTCTACCTCCTTTGACATGGTAAGCAAAGTAACACACCAATAAGACTTCACCAGGAACGTCACCAGGTACTGACAGCCTCCTGGATCAAACCCAGTCATACTGAAGTGAACTACAAAGTGCTGTGCTCTCTAACTTTGTGTATTAAAATACAATTCCTTAACCATGATTAGCTAAAGAAATGAAAATAAGCCTATGTAATTCAGTTGTAAATCTGAAACATTAAATGTTTTTAAGACTGGCAGCAAAACGGTCTTGTGCCGTAAAATCTCTTCCTGCCTTAAAAGCAAACACCCCAAGACCTTAAATATAAGGCCAATTCCGTAACAGAAGCACTAATACCCTAAAAGCTACTCCAGTAGAGTCTCTCCACTTGACAGGTCTATGGAGAGTTTCATCATTATGCCTCCCTATCCCAAGGTTTAAGAAGGATATTATGTCTTAACAAAAGCACTTCTTTTAGCAAATGAAGGGGCTGAAAACAGTAAATAACATCACCTACTTCCTGAATCTCTATTTGGGTACCTTTGACAAAAACCACGAAAATGGCAAGTCTAACAGTTAACCCCTCAAGTATTTACATGGTTTCCCTCAAAAGAAACAACAAAAAAGCCCAAATATAGCACTGTGAACCCCAGCGGGTAAATAATAAGGAACCTGATGGTTAAGAAATTTTTAAAAAGTAAACAAAACAAAGCAGCCCACGGAGGGAGGGGGCGCACGACACGACACCCTAACGTTTAAAGGTTTAAAACAGAGGAAGTATTTAAATTTCCTATATAGTACAGTCTAAGTTGTAATTAATGCTAAACCAAAGGAGTTTGGCTACGAATCTGAGTGCGGACACGAACTTGTTTACTAGGAAATGAAGGGACGACAGAGGAGGGATGTCGTTGGGTGCAGGAGCGCCTGCTGGCAGCACAGGACTCTGGGGTCTCGCACTGCAAAGAGCGACCAGAGAAACAAGAAAAGCCTCCGAGCTACGGAGAATAAGCAGCTTTGAAGGTTTTTATTTTTTAACATGCCCGCAGAGTTAAGGGAGTAAAGGGTGGAAAAACAACTCGGGGGTTGTGCCTTGGGTGGGGGTGCAGGCCGGCTGCTGAGTGCCGGAGTCCCCCAGGTCAGAGCCGGGTGGACCTGCACGGCTCACTTCTCCCCGCACCCCACCTAGGAGTCCATTTCTAAGTTGGCCGAACGCCGTTCGGCCGTCCCCCACCTACACACTGGGTGCGGGCGGCGGGGCGGCGGAAGGGTGAGCGGCACCTGGGCCCGGAAGGGAGAAACTTCGCGGAGAGCCAGCGGGAGTCCCCGGCCCGCGGTAGCCGGCGAAGTTGCACCGCAGGCGGCTTCCGGGCGCCCCTCACCCGCGCACTCGGCGCAGACGTCGCAAGTGCGCCAAGTCCGACTGAGCGTCCGCGCCCCGCCCGGCGCAGCCCAACTAAGTTCGGCGGGAGCTCGGCGGGCGACCGGGCCGGACAACAGGTGGGCAGCCGCCCGGGGGCCGCGCCTCGGG